CCCGCCACATTCAATTCAAAATCAAAATCGGTTGTGCCCGTGCCGAGAAAACCCGTTCGGGCCCAACCGGGTCAAATGAAGCAGTTGCCGTCGCCCCACGTACCCGTGCCCGGTAACGGGGTATCGGGTGAGCTTGAGACGATGCTGTATGACTACCAAAAGTCCAAAGGGAGCAGCAAACTGGTTCGGGCCACATCAGGGAACGTGATGCTGTACGGGAATTTGGGGAATATTCGGTCGAAACAGAGCTCCGGTAATGATCCGAAACCCGGTTATCGACCGAATGCTAATCGGGTAACGGGTAGTCTAGTACCCAGTAACCAAACGGATACGGATACGGGTACGGTTGTGCTTTGTCGAGCATTGTCGAAGAGAACGGATTCGGAGGAGCTGAAGGATTTAGGGAATAGGGAGTTTGGAGAGGGAAGGTTTGCGGAGGCGTTGGCTTACTATGATCAGGCGATTTCGATGGATCCGGGTAAGGCTTCTTATCGGAGCAATAAGGCCGCGGCTTTAATGGGTTTGGGTCGGATATTTGAAGCTGTTTGCGAGTGTAAGGAAGCGGTTCGGATCGATCCGGGTTACTGTCGGGCTCATAACCGGTTGGCTGGCCTTTATTTCAGGTAGTTTGCTTTGTCTCAGTGTTTGAGCCGATTTGGGTGGTACTTGCTCTTAATTTGAAAGTGTAAAAAAAAAAAAAAAATTGGGAAAATTTAAGGAAATTTAGTTAATGAAGAACTTTCAAGCGCAGGTATTTAATGTGATAAAATTTGAAATTTGTTTAGACTGGGAGAAGCTGGCAAATCAATTCATCACTACAGGCAATCACAAAGGGAAGCTGATCCTAGTGACATCTCAAAGGCTCAAACACTACAAAGATACATTGCAAAATGCAGCGAAGCAAGAAGAACAAGAGATTGGCAGACGATGCTTAAAGAATCCCAATCTGCAATTTCCTTCGGGGCCGATTTTGCTCTTCAGGTACTCTCCACTGCATTCTTGATTAGATTGTTCAAGAACATAGTTTTATATATTATATGTACTTGTTATCACGTGTTGATAAGGGGCTGTTTGGTTGGCTTTTTTTGTTTGGGTTTCCCTACCAAAACTGACAAAAGCTGTCAGTTTTGGCAACTTTACTTGCAAAAACGTCCATTTTGGGGCGTTTTTGCAAGTAAAGCTACCAAAACTGACAGTTTTTGTCAGTTTTGGCAAGGAAACAAGGGCAAAAAATACCAACCAAACAGCCCTGTGAGCGAGCGTTATCCCACCATGTAAAGGATTAAAAAGAGCGGTACTCTTAATTAGGAGGGTTAGTTGCACGTAGACTTTCTGCAATTTCACGTTGTGCCAGTCATTGCCCCTTAATATTGGTACTGACAGACATACCCCTGACGCTGGAACGATGCTAGAGATTTGTGGCAAAAAAGACCCTCATCTCCACTATCGCACGCCATACAATTAAACCTGAATAAAAACTTAGGATAGGTACCGCACATGTAAAAGACTTCAGATTTATCAGATTGTCAACCTCTGTTTAATGGTAAGTTTTGAGAAATATCCGATCAGTCCCTAATAAGTAGTATTAGAGGCAAAGATTATGGTCCAAGAAAAAGTAAAATGCAGCACAATGTTCAAAGTTTAAGTGGCCATATTCTAACTTATGATTGTCGATTTGATCAAATCAAAATGATCTGATCATGTGAAACATTATAGCAAATCTACCATCTTTTTTCAGCGAAGAAACTAGCATATACTAAATAGAGAGTTGAGTGAATTTTGCGAGCATGTTGAGAAACTTGAATGCTCATAAGGATTCATAATTGTTCAATTTCAATCTTACACGATCGTTCTTTTACGCTACAAAAGGCATTTTCATGGAAAGCAGAGGCGCTGATGAGACTCCAAAAGCATGATGAGGCCGATGCAGTACTAAATGGTGCGCCTAAATTAGATGTCAATGCATCTACAAAGATTTTTGGGGCTCCTGTAAACGGATACATGCTCATGATTCGAGCTCAAGTAGACATGGCTGCAGGAAGGTCAGTCCTAAATCTGAACTTGTTTCAATTCAAGAGAGTCCAATTTGAAAAAAAAAAAAATTCTTTTTTTTTTTTGCCTTAGATGACAAGATTTTCAATTGTTGATTTGCACAAAAATAGTAAACATTACAACAAATTAGAAAATTTTCTCTTTAAATGTGTAGTTGGCGTGATTTGAGTTTGGATTACTTTGATATCTCATCTTAGAGTCTTTTCTGTTATACCAAAATTTCCATGTTATCATAACAATTGAGAGTTATAATTTTATACTCTAATTAAGCAACCATTTTATCAAATTACGACCGTCATAGGTTCGACGAGGCAGTTTCAGCAGCTCAAAGGGCAATGCAACTTGACAGAAATAACCAGGAGATAACGGCAGTTCTGAGGAGAACAAAAGCAGTAGCATTTGCTCGGTCTAAAGGCAACGAATTCTTCAAGGTCTCAAATTTCAATGAGGCTTGCTTAGCCTATGGAGAAGGATTAGGTCACGACCCCCAAAACGCCATTCTTCTCTGCAACCGGGCAGCATCTCAAGCTAAGCTCGCACAGTGGGAGAGGGCAGCAGAAGATTGCAATGCTGCTCTTAAGCTCCGGCCGTCTTATGCAAAAGCTCGGTTGAGGAGAGCTCATTGCAATGCCAAGGTAATGGACTTTTAACTATTTTGCGGTATAGGGGGTACTTATCTAGCCACATTTATCTCCTTAATTATTTCATTAGCATTTACAAGTCTATAGAATATTGTTAATCGTTCCATGTTAGATTGAGATGTCATGATCTGGATCGTATGATGTAAAATTAGGTCTCTTCCCTCAATTAAATTGGAATCTAAAAAAAAAATCACCCATTAACTTGAGACTAAGAAAATAATTCATCGTCGTATGATTCATAGATGACATCTCAATCTAGTGGGGAAATAATGTTGTGGAGGAGTTCAAACGTAAGGGCTCATAAATGATAATTAACCGTTCCATAGTACCAAAGGTGTACACGCAACTAATGTTGTTTTTAAACCGTAGTTTTTTTTTTTGAGAGAGAAAGGATGGAATACCACTAAGGTATTCCAGCCAGCTAAATTAAGATAACTGGTTGTTACAAAAAAAGAACATACTCCCAACCATAGAGCATGAACTACTGTTTAAACCAAAAACTTACAAAGCCAATCCACACCCCCATGTCCAAAGTACCAGACATAATCTCCCAAAAAGAGAACAAAAGCCCGACATAGCAAGCAAATACACTGCATACAACCCCATGCTATACACAACAGCAGAAAACAAAAGACTTATCTTTCCATCCACCAAACCGCAACAAACAATCTGTGAAAGCTTCATTCCAACTGGATCACTTGGAGCTCAGCCATCCTTTTTCCATATTAATCCAGAGGGTTATAGCTTTATTTTGTAACTTAATTGCTTTGTTCGGTATTTGGCGTGTATGTATGATAAAATCCATCCTTTTTCCACGTATTTTGTGATCAAGATGGGAAGATGGGCACCAGCAGTTCAAGATTATGAGACGCTGATCAAAGAACTACCAGGAGATGAGGAGGTGAGCAAGGCATTAGCAGAGGCCAAGTCAATGCTGCAGAAAAAAAGATGGGATCTTGTAAAGAGCACAACTCTCTCTTGATACGCCGTTGTATGTTGGTATGTGAATATTATTGCTCCTTAATTATGAGGCTTATTCGTATTTCTTTGTTCGATGAATTAAAAAAATAGATAATCATTATATTTGTTAATTACATTTTTATGTGCAACAGTCGCGATTTAATTCAGGAAAATGTAGAAGGCGGGAATATATGCTTTTATTAGATGAAATTTATGCTACTGTTATAAAAAAAAATCAAGTGAGAACGTACGATTGAAAAGTTGGATCATGTCCTCATTTCCATATTAATCCAGAGGGTAAAATTATAATTTTACAAAGAGTAGTTATTTATTTCTTTTCTTTTTCAATAAAATCTCTTTTATCCTCCAATAAATTTTGAATAGACTGTATATCCTCTCATATATCTCTGCATATGCATTTATATATTGATATGTTTTTCTTCTGACATGATTTGATACGACTTCTTTTATTTTTATTTCTCATGACAGTGCCGCTTGATTTTTTTTCGCACATTGAGAGTTGATCTCTGAGAAATTGATGCTTTCGATGAAGCAACTCGGAGCTAAAAATTCCGTGAGATCTTACAAAGATTGTAAGTATCTGTCTGGTTCAAGTTTTGAAGGGATGCGACGGTTTGTACCAAACTTATACGTGGAAGCAACGCCTACGGAATGTATAGCAAAAAATGGTGATTTTTTTTTTTTTTTTGCTAGCAAGGGAAACCTGGTCACCCAGCTCAATTTTACTCCCTTTGGGAGTGCCGCCAGCGGTCCTTGATCGATTCCCCGTGATCCCCAATTTCTTGTAAGGAGCTACCCTTGTTACCAGGGGCTCATCCCCACAGTGTGGGCGAATAGGAAGTGGACCACAAGGACGCGACCTGGTGAGCATATAACGGACTGAGCCTGAGTGACCAGTAAAACCCCGGGATCCTATCCCCACCCTTAAACCCACAGGAGCCAGGTGATTTTTTATGAAGCCAACTTAATCCAAAGATACTTTCAACTTAAATATTTCAAATGTCGCAACACAATTATCCACAGCCACTGTTCATATAATCTAGTATTAGTCCACAGGGAGCATGTACATCTATTTCCTAGGATTTAGATGGTAAATAACGTAAGATACGAGGAATGGGGATCTTTGTGCTCTCTCCAAAACATCTCTCGGTATTTTTATTAACCCTTCTATATTCATTAGAAATTTAGAATCAGTTGAAGCATCAAATTGAATAAAATAATAATGCACAAACTGATTCAAATAACCAAATAAATATTCGAAAGGGTGAATTACACCAAATCCCAAAAAACTTCCAGTGTTTTGCAATAAATCCCCATACTTTCGAAATATCACTATACTCCCAATAATTTTTTGTAGAAAATCCTTAATATCTTTTGGATAAATTATACTGAACCCTCAATATCTTTTGAATAAATTACACTAAATCTCCAATAATTTTTAAAATGTCTTTTTATGTTGTTGTTTTTCGTTATAATTTATGTGGAAACTTTTTTTTTTTTTGCAATGTAAAAAGTTATTGGGGATTTTATAATTTTGAAAGTTAGTGGGGTTGACTGCAAATTGTTGGAAGTTCTTGGGGATTTATTGTAATCTACCCTATTCGAAAACACTAGTTGTAGTAAATTTATGCTAAAAAGCAGAGTTCAAATAGTTCAAAGAATTAAACTATGAAAATATTAATTTCTCTAAAGACGAGGGCTCTTGTCAAATTTTAAAATTTAAATGAAAACATCAAAATTCTTTATTTCTTTACATCAAAAATGCATATAAATGAAACTATATAAAAATCTTTGTGATCAGTTAAGTGACCAAAATCAATATACAAGAATATTTTGAATTGGTTAAGTGAGGAAAAACCAACATAAAGAACTAAATAAATATTCAAAAGGGTAAATTACACTAAACCTAAAAGAACTTTCACTCTTTTGCAATAAATCCCAACGCTTTCAAAATCACACTAAACCCCCAATAAATTGGATAGTTTCTTTCTCATCATTTTCTTGACACAAGTATATATTCAGCTAGTAACAAGGTATGTTGTTCTGCAGTAATATCTTAACAAACTATTCTATTTTCCGATCCAAATCTTAACAAACATTTCTATTTTGTAAGCCAAAACACCTCACTATTAGAACATTCTTCGTGCAGAACATTATTCATCCAATATCTCTTGTTTGATTGATAACAAACTCTTATTTGCTAATGATATGTTTGTAAGATGACATATTTTAAGTATAAACATGTACGAAGAAATTGCGGTTCAAAATGATGCAAAAATGAACACGAATGTTGATTTCAGCCTTTGAACCATCGATGGTCAAGAGGCACTATCGATGATCAAGCAAGTCATCGATGTACTATATGAAAGAATCGAAGAAAATAGAAACTAGAAATCTGATTATCGATAATCTATAGTCGACCATCGATGATTGCAAAGACCATTGATGGACTACCGTCAAGAATCAGATAAATTCAAAAACCATACTTGTACAATTAATCAATAGACTACAACTAATCATTAATGAACATCAATGGACCATTGATGATCATGATCCAACATCAATTATTCTGACATGTTTTGGCAAATTTTCAGATTTATTCTTAACCATTCGTTGATTGATTTGATTTCCTATTGGAACGCTGATTAGAATATCTATTTCTTACTTTTTTAAAGTCTATATAAGAGGGGTTGGAGATCATTTTTGAAGTAGAGACAACAAGAAGAGAGAGGGGCAATTTGCATAAAAAGGAGAGGTCTTTCTCTAGGGGTTGAGATAGAGAGAAAAAGTTGATCTAATCCCCTAAGCCTCATTCAACTTCTTCTCCATGCGCTTTTCATCGAAATTTCATTGAGAGGGAAGGAGTGCCCTCCGCCTACAACGCTACAACGTTTCTTCACAAATCTTCATCTACATTGATTAGTAAGATTGTTTTTTTTTGTTCATTATTTATTTTTAGTTGGTTATTTCAAACTTGTAAGTTTGACGATGTACTCAAGTCGGGATAATTGGGGGTTGGTGTACTCAAGCCATATAGTTGAGTGTTTGGCTAGTTGGGGCTATATTTCTTCTGGTCATTTTGAAGAGTTAGATTAGACGACTGGTTTCGGGTAGATTCTAGGGTGTGGTCTTTAAAGCCTACCAAATCGAGTTGTGATTTGGGTGAACTCTGGTCATAGTGATGAATGCTCTTCACGATAAGGAAGAGTACACGTAGGATTTTGATCCGAACCACTATAAAAATCTCGTATGTTACCGTGTTAGTTTGCTTTTAGTTTTTCGCTTATCATATTTCCGTTGTTTATTCGTTAGTTAAAAAATCATAACAATATTATTCACCCCCGCCTCTAAACTTGCGTCCCAGTTCCAACACTCAGATGTTGGTACGCTCACACTCTACCATTATTGACAACAATCCACGCAAATTGTGCAAGCGCTAGCTTGCATGTGATTATATGAATCATGGATGTATGTATGTTTATATACTCTTATGCAATAAATTAGAGATACGATTTAAACCTTAATTTTCTTAGAAATAGATGTTTATCTACCGTTTTTAAAATACTAGTTCACTCAAGCATCTCATCTTTAGAATTAATTCACACTCCACTGTTTCATGAACTTTATACTTCTTCATTTCTTGAAATAAACTAAATGTTACTTTACTGAACTAAGATGTATTGTTTTTTATGTAATGGTCAGAGTCATGGAGTTCATACTTCCATTTCCATAGCTTTCATGTTTCCTTCACATGTAACCTGTACTAAGAGGTACGTATGTACGCTGTCAGTTTGAATTCGTTAAATGAAAATTAAAAAATACCAGACACAAAGAAATACAAAAGAAACTACAAAATCTATACATAAATTACAAATAAACGCACAAAGTCCTAGCAAAGAAGCAAAATGGCAAGCCCAAATTAATCAAAACTCAAAAAATTCTTAAAATTTTGTAATAACATTGCGCAGGCGTCGAGGGGCCCGACCCATATTGTTAACTTGGTCGGGCCGTCGTGGTCCTGTAATAAGGTTCTTGTGACAGTGGTGGGCCCACTTTCGGCTGACGAAGATGGTGAGGAACCCAATATGAGTACCCAAGTTGGATTCGGGAGCAGTTGGACTGAGTTTAAAAGATTCACCTTGAAGGGCAATTTTGATGTGAAAGAGAGTCGATTTTCATTTCCTGTTTTAAATTTTTGAGGTTTGGTTTCGAGATTGAAGAAGAGAGGCGTTCATATTTTTCTCCAGAAAAAAATTTCAAAACAGACTCAAATCAAATTTTAATTTTCAAAATGGACTCACTTTTTTTTTTACAAAAACCAACACACTTTTTGCCACGTCAGCTTAATCTCATTTACTAATTAATCGGGGTTACCAACGCCGACTATTTAGGGCATAAAAATCAGGTTTAAGGTTTCTAATTAGGGTTTAACAACCTCCTAAACAGTCGAGGTTGCCAACCCCGACTGTTTAGGAATGAGATTAATCTGACGTGACAAAAAGTGAGTCGATTTTTATAAAAAAAAAGTGAGTCGATTTTGAAAATTAAAACTTATGCTGAGTCTGTTTTCAGAAATTTCTTCTTTTTCTCCAATCATACATATTTCATACCATCAATTGATTATGACTAGCAAAGATAAATCAAGTAATTTGTTATTTAATTTTTTCTAGTGTTTTTAGTATATAACTCAAATCCGCCGTATTTGCAAGTTTAGCATAAAATTCGATGATTTGCTAATATACGTTTAATCTTCCGCATTGATTTTTTCAGCCCCTCTCATCTTTGAAAAAAATTGTTATACTTTATATTGGCGTGTAAGATGGTTTGTCGGATGATCTTATACTTTGTGAATAATATTGTAACATCGGTTCTTCTTCTAGTTGTTCTTCTGATCTTGTTAGCATCCTCCTGACGTAATATCTAACAAAGTCCCTAATTCCTTTCAAATTGGGGAAATATCATATATTCAGATTGTTAAATTTTGATTTTTCATTCTTTTTTAACATTTAACACGTTAGGAGTGAACCCTATGATTCTATCAAAAGCCTAGGTGAAATTGTTGCCCGTTAGAGCTAAGAACTGGTTATAGCAAGCTCATTTAATTTTAACTGCGTTACATCGACACGGCTGCACCACCTTCAGCATGGTAGGAGTTACTAATTTCCCTCCAAATTTGAAAGAAAAAAATTTCTAAAAAAATCTAAGTTGGAAAAAACTCATCTTTTTACAATTACAAATCAAATTTTATTGTCTCTAAAAATGTGGAAGTATGCCGTCGTGGGAGGGAGACTGCCGGCGAACTCTGTAACAGCCGATCTCCCCTCCACAGGTCGTATATAGTGTTTCTCTTGACATTTCTCTTTTAATATGCAGTTATAATTATAAATTAGTGAAATTAATTAACATAATTAGGAATATATTAATCACAGTTCATAAAAAATGTGGAGATGGGGACATTTTACAACGCAGGGCATTTAGAGTTATAATTATAAGAAAAGATCTAGATGGCGGCTATATTTTCTATTAGGTGCTATTTGGTTCGTTTCCCATGTATTGGGAAACAAAACTCCATGTAA